GCCCCAAAACACGTGACCACTGCCTCCCAAGGAGATTTTTGCTGTCCTTTGTGTGTCTCTCACGTTAAATGCAAAGATGTTTATTCAGATTTTTTCCCCACATATGTGGACCCTGCAATAGGTAAGTGGTACATTGATAAGGACCCCTACCCACCCTTGAATAATGGACAGAATCGGGCCATTTTTACTCTCCCTAGGTACAAATTCACGTTTGGTTATGCAGGCAATATCCGTTTAAGTGAGATTTCCGAGAAAAAATGATTAAGAGTCCTAAGTACTCAAAGAAGAGAAAAAGGAGGAATGAGACACACGACACATTAGAGATACTATGCTTATACTTTACTGCATTGTCACATAAGTTATTGGACAGAATCCTAAGAAGAACATATATTTGCATCGGTAGAACAAATGTGGAGTAGAACCCCTTTGGGGAAATGTTTAATATACATTTTATAATCAGCCACAGTGATTGAAATGGAACTGAGGCCAGGAATGATACTCATCAGAGGAGCACTGTTTGCACTTAATAACTGGCCATTACTGAGAATGACAGAACCTTTTTCAGTGACATTCCCAGGGGTTTCAGCGAGCGTCCCATGATGTGAATGAGCGCTCCGAGAAGCAAGCCCGCTGGCCTCCAGCCGCGGGGACAGACTTCCTCACTCCATCCTCAGCAGACAGGTGGAGCGACAGACAGAGTTTTCGGATGTGTTCCCCTGCGAGGATGGTCTACAGACCTACTCCTCCCGCTCCTGGAACAGGCCATGGCAGGTGCAGCCACGCAGTGCCTTAGCTCTCCAAATAAAGGAATAATGTGTGCTTTAACGCTCTTAAGAGCTTAAGAGAGACGAAGCTCCTCAGTCCGGAGCCCATTAAGCAGACACTAATGTCTGTGTGAAGTCCCTGACCCGTCTGCGTAAGAGGATTACTATGTTCCATCAAGAGAAGCCCAAACAGAAGGCCGACAGAAAGTGTAGGACACATGTCAGAGATTTCTTTAATTTTAGCACTCAAAGGGGCACTGATTTTAAGGCTTAAAAAGCCATTTGTGTTGCCATCAGGCAGCCCCTTTCAATTTACTATTCATTTTACTTGGTTAGTACACACTGACACAGAGCTCACTACATGCTGCGCACTTACTAATAGGAACTAATTTAATGCCTATAGTCGCCTTGCTCACAGGGCTGTTTCCTCAGCCATGTTTTACAGCTGACAAAACAGAGGCACCCAGAGGTCACGCAGCTAGTTTCTGTAACGAAGAAATTCCAGTGTCTCCTCTGGGAAGCCCTCCCTGAGCCTTCCAGCTGTGCTGTCCCTGTGTTCCCACTGCCCCCCTCTGGGCAAGCTTCCATGGTGCTTAATGTAGTCATACTCCCCTCAATCCTTCCCTAATGGATCAGGACCTTCCACCTACTCCTCCCCGCGCTCTTATGCACATCTTGTGCTCAACACACATCGGCTACACGGATCAAAGACGGGCAGGTGCACGCCTCTCGCCTGAAATCCTTGGGGCCACCTGGGTGTGGAAATGCAGAATATTTTGAATTTCAGGAAGTGCAGTGCATGCATTATACATGACGACGGGCAGATCCGGGACAGCAGCCCGTAATAACATCCATTTGCATTTCTACAGCTAAACTTACAAATGGCCATGCTACTCGAATAAACAGAAACTATAAACACAGACAAAGACTAGAGACAGCCTCACGAGAGTTCAGGGGAGGCTCTACCAACATGTAAGCTGTGAAGAAAAAAAGAAAAGCGCTTGGTTTTCACAGCGTTCTGGATTTTGGAATGGCCAGTAAGGGACAGAGGGCCAATTTCCATGAAGGTCTCCCAGACAGCTCTGCAGACATCAGGGAACCATGTAACGGCCCGATGTCCTGTTCATGCAGTTGCTACGTCCCCATGACCACAGTGAGAACCTGGAGGACCGGCTGGAGACCTGGGTCCAGAGTGGGCTCCTGGGGCATAGGCACCTGCCAAGGGAGACCAGAGAGGTGTGTGGGGTGAAGAAAACAGCCCTGGACTAAGGCACAGTGGAAAAGGACCTGGGGCATCTCCGTTCCCTTGGAGCCAGTTTTTTTTTTTTTTATTTTTGGGAAAAGCACAAGGCCAACTCAGCAGACATCCAAAGGCTGGTAAAGGTGTCAAACAAACAACAGTTCCATGCCTCAGCATTGGCTGATGTAGGATCTCTCAGCCTTGTCTGTCAAAGAAAAAAAATGCTCCTTCCTTTCATTTTTTCAAGTTAAGTGACCTCCTGTTGTCCTAAACTATGTGCTCCTCAAGGGCAGCCATTAGGCTGTGACAAGTAACCCTAACATGAAGCTATCACAGCTATTATAGCTCTGGAAGGCCAGGAGTCCAGTACGTGTCTCACTGGGCCACAAGGGTGTCTGCGAGGCTGCGCTCCTTTTAGAAGCCCTAGGAGATGGGACTGTTGCCTCGCCTGTTCCAGCTCCTACAAACTGCCTGTGTTCCTTGGCTCGTGGTCCCTTCCTTCACTGTCAAACACGAAATAGAAGGTGAAGGCTTCTTCACTCCACATCACTCTGACCGGCGCTGGCCCTCCTGCCTCCCTCCTTCACTTTTCAGGAGGTCTGTTCTTACAGCAGGCTCACCCGGATCATCTCCTCTTCTCAGAACCTTAATTCATCACATCTGCCAAGTTCTCTGTCTTGCACAGTCACATATGCACAAGTTTTGGGAATTAGGATCGGGGCATATGGGGGGGGCAGTGGGGAGGCAATAGTGTCTACAAGAATATCTGAGTTTCTCTTGCATCCCTAGCAATGACTGCAGTGCCAAACACACAGCACATAGTGTCAGCTCAGCCTTTATTCATATTACTTGAATGTCTTCAAGCATTAGTTCCCTCAACTATAAACAGAGATAAAAATACCTACTAGGAGCCTCACATGAAACAGAGCATATGAAAGCGCTCGGATAACTATAAAGAACCCCCACAATGAGGATCAGCTCTCACTGACTAGTAGCAGGAAACCCACAGATCCATTCGTGAAAACCCCAGTGTATAAATAAGGAAAGACAGCAGGATGCTAAGAGCATTCCACTCAATTCAGTAGGGCATTATGGAAGACAGGGTGTGGCCGGGGATGTAAATCATGTTATTATGCTGCCTGGAGGCACTCCCATTTGGGACCATATGTAATTCAGTGCCCAAACTGAAGAGGGCGCTACTAACGTGGCTCCGGGACCAAAGCACGAGGTAGAACTCTTGCAGGCAACCAGAACACATGGTCACCGCAGGTACTCCACGGGGCTCTGGAGCCAGACGGCCTGCACCCAAATCCAGACCCACACTTAGAGCTCGGACACTTGGGGCACATTATCTAATCCCTCTCTGTCCTGGTCGCTTCTTCTGTAAAACAGGGATAACAGACTCCCCCCGCCCGCCGCCCCCCAAGGCTGGTGTGCAGATCAGATGAGTGATTACATATGCACCATTCAGAACCTCACCCGATCACACTAAGAGGTCAGCAGAAGTTAGCTAGCATTACACATCACAGCCAGCCATGCCCGACATTCTCACAAATTCTCGGCACAGAACTTCTAGTGTTTTCCCACAAGTCCGGCCTGAAGGCAAAGGGCTAGCGTGGCTGAGCACCAGTAAACAAAACTCCCGGACGGGTGACCATCTGTCCGTTGATACCTGCTCCCTCATACCCCACTTCTGCTCTCCCATCCCCGCCCTCGAGCCCACTGTGGAACGCCGAGCTGCGGTGCCAGCCTGGGCTCCTACAGTGCTTGGTCATGAAATACAGCCAAACCCTTTGTTATGAGAGCAGGAGACAGGATGACCGCAAGATTAACTCCCTAAAGCAGCAGTCTCTTCAGTGAGTGCTGCTCTGTCCAGCTGATAGAGGGGGTGATATTTGCCTTCTAATTTTAAACTTCAGCACACTAAAATTATAATGTGCTCACGTCATTTTAAAGGGCAAGCCGCACAAACGGGCTCCTGTGTAGACTGCTTCTTGTCACCTTCTGTCATAAACGAAACCCAAGTTATTATGTCTCGAGAGAGATGTTACAAATACGAACCCAACTACTTTCTGCTGAACTTGGAATAATGATGATGATTATGCTATTTGTACAGATTATAAAAACATTAGCTACAGCAAATAGTATTGATTCAGTGCACACAAGACAGGCCAGGCACTGCTCAAAGTGCATCCCGGGCATGTATGCTCTAGCAAGTCTACCAAGTAGGGACTGCTAGGATCCCCATTTACAGATGAGAAGAAGAAAGCACAGAGAGGTGAAGGGAAGGATGAAACTCCGGCAGTCTGACTGGAGTGCACACTCTTAAATGCAAACTCTGCTCCCTCTTAAGCGGGAAAGCAAACACCCCTCTTGCCCAGCAGGAGCCATCCTGGGGTACCGTATTATGGAAAAGAACAAGCCCTCCACTTGTCTGTGCTGAACACCTGCATCTCCTTTGTCTGCCTGGCGAACTCCTACACACCCCGCACCACCCTGATCTCTTCCAGCCCCTAGGACAGCTCAGGGCACACCGCAGGCTCCCAAGGCAAACCCTGAGATTTCAGCGTGGCAGCTGTGGGACGACTGTTAAGTTTTGTCAGGCGCTGACGTTGAAGCAGTATCAGCTGTACAAAGGGATTCAAAGCAGGTTTTCTTTTCAGAGGCAGCTTCTCGGGTTCATCTAAGATATGATTTGATTGACAAGGCTGTGATTGGCCTTTACCTAAGACCACATTAGACACGATGATGACGTGCACAGGGCTGCAACGTGTAGCTTCACACAAATAAACCTCATGCATTTCAGGAGAGTCAGGGCTGTTGGTTTTCTTCAACTCTGTTTACTAAAGCTACACAGACTCGGAAGCACCTGCCACCAGAACCATCCATTCCCTTCTGGCACCCCAAGCCCCACCCCCCACCCCGGACACAGTCGGACACCTGGGAAGCTGGGTGTGAGGCTGCTGTGGGACCCCAAGTCCCACCGGCCACCTTACTTGTTAATGTTGCTGCCTTCTTTGAGTCGCTCTCCTGCGGCTCCTGTTTTGGACACTCTCTCGCTACCTGCCAGGTCCACCAGGCTGACCTTACTGACCTTCTCTCCCGAGTTCTGGTTGCAGGGAACAAGAGAGAAACAACACATGTGAGGGCAACGCACACATCTACGCCGACGTCTACACCGTAACTGAGGGCAGCCAAGTAGCCCTGCCCCCACAACAGGGCAGGGGTGGAGCCATGGGGACTCGCGATGTCATGGTCAATTTTATTTTTTTTTAAGTTTTTACTTTTTTAAAAGTTTTATTCATTCAAGTCATCTCTGCACCCAATGTAGGGCTCGAACTCACAACCCCTGGGATATAGAGTCACATGCTTGTCTGCACCTGGGCCGGCCAGGCGCCCCACAGCCAATTTTGAACTGCTGCGGGAATACAGTGTTTGCATGTCGCTGGGGAGCATGCGTACTCAGCTTTCCGGGATCTGGTCAGGAAGCCAGAGATCTGTGCCTTTGAGGAAACACATGAGGATTCCTGCATATTTAGGTCAAAATCCTCTTCTTTTGAAAAAGTGTTCTTTAGGCTAAGTGTTGTGGTTTCCTCTCTAATAGCCCTTAATGGCTATGAGGTAGACTCAGTCGTTTTTAGGGGAATTTCAGGATGAAAGGATACATATTAAAAGCTGTATGGTGACATCACTGCTGCTCATGGAGTTTACACAAGAAACGCAATTTTTTTAAAGCTATATATAAAGGAAGACCTCATAAGTGGAACAAGTTAAGTGAAGTAGCTTATCTAGTAAGCAGCAAAGCCAGCATGAAATTCCTAGCCACCGAATCCAACCACGAAGCCCTCCAGCCCTGCGGGACGTGTGCGTTCCTTTCCTGCCCCCGAAGGCTGTCCCCAGGCTCTTACCCCAGACTGCAGGTCATAAAGTGTCTGTGTGATTATGATGTTGAACACAGCATGGGAGCGGCTGCTTTCCTCATTCATGTTGGTCGCAGCGACCGTCCGAGACTTATTTCCCTCAGACATCAATGACTCAATATCCTAGAGGCGAGGCAGAAGGAACACATTAGAAGCGAAAACAAAGGAACGCAGTCCTGCCCACGGGTGCACGGGGTAATGACCACCCAGGGCGCGCCTGGCACTGCCCTTCCATAAGGACCACCTCCCCGACTGTCTTCCACGGGGCTAGGGCTGAGCCTCCACCTCTCACCACCTTCTAGAATAGGAAATGCTCCCCCCGTTCTGGCCACCCTGCAATTGTCCCCTTTCTCTGTTTAGCACCTCTTTTTTCCCTTTGCAACTTCCTAGGGGGGAAAAGAGCTAATGTTCATGGAGCACTCCAGACACTCAGTCACACTAGTGACTTTATGTGACTAACTCTCCTGTGCTTAATGACTCTGCAGAGCCACGGACGGCTTGTTGACGTGCCCCCTCGGCCGACACCATGGCCCTCCAGCGACAAGGAAGGCTTATTCATCTTCAAACACCTGGAACCCACGGGCTCTTACACAATATTAGACACGTGAACTTTGTAAAACAAATATTCCCCTAATGTTAGCCACAGAACATGGACGTTCACGGAGCTCAAGTAACTTTACCCACATCTAGCAAGAGACAGGGCAGGGGTGGCTCTTACTAGTAAGTGACAGGGTGAGAGGAACAGGGAGCTGACCACACTGAGCTGTAAGCCACACACCCAATTCAGCACCTTGACCCTGAGAGGTTTCCCTTCATTTCAGAATATGGGTGCTTTTCAAGTGATGGCTGCACTCTGTTTCTCATCTGAGCGATACTAAAAATGTCTTCATCTAAATGGCTGGGGAGAGTTAGCTCACAGATTAACTTTCATCAGTCTGAGGGGATGGTGGGACGGCCACAAGCCCGGGACAGCATGATGGGCAGAGGATGCCTTTGCGCACTCTTGGGTGGGGATTCTCCCGTAACAGAGAGCGGCTGTTTTAGGGGTTTCCGAAGCAGTGATGGTAGAAGGAAGGCTAAGACGTCAAGTTGGGATGTAAGAAGGTGTACAAGTCAAGGAGCTGGAGAAGGAGATGGGTCAATGGGGAGAGGAGCGATTCAGAAAAATAGAACCAGAAGACTTCATGAAGGGTAATGGAAATGAGCACAGGAGACCCTGTCAGCGGGAAGGGAATGAATGAATTGCCCAGCTCTGCTTGTGTATGTCCAGGTTGCTCTAGAAGGACACCACTGACAACCTTGAGGAGCAGAGTTTCAACAAGGTGGCGTGAAAGAAAATATTTGCAATTCACACTGCTGAGCCTCTTGGCCACACTGTCGCTCCTTCACAACAAAGCAGGTCGAAGCCCTTTCTTTCTGTGTGGGGTGTGTTGCTACTGGGTTTCCGAGACCATGCATGGTACCAATATGCTAGAAAGCACTCACATGAAAATACGCTCAACATTACCTACACGTTTCGATTTATTGCCAGTTTTTAATTGACACTTACCTCAAAACTAGTGACAGCCAGTTGGGATAAACCATCTACATACGGTCCCAAAACTTTATGCTCTCGAACTTTAAGGGACTGTCTATTCCTTTGGGAGGAAGGAAAAAGGTATGAGTGAATCAGACCAAACTGAAAAGCTTTTTTCTTTCTTTTTGGGTACTCAGAAAGTCGGGTTGCAATTTTTTAATGATCAAAAAGTATTCTAAAAGCTACTTTATTTGGATTAGGAAAACAGCATTCCTTATGAGGAATGTCTTTTATACTCTGATTTCTATTTAAAGTAACTTACTATTTAAAAAATTCTATCTCTACTCCCAAACTAAACAGCCAGCACACAGAATTCGCGTGTAGACTCACTAGGCTTGCTTTAGTTGAAGAACTTCAGTTTTTACATAGGAGGGAAAAAAAGAAGAAAGAAAGAAAGAAAGAACGAACAGAACATGCAGAATTGAATTTAACCTTAAGACGATTTCATATATAAGCACACTCCCAGTTTTAGCAAATCATGTCTTAAAAGTTTTGATCAAGCAGTGGACAATATTAAAGTGTTTTAATTTGCTTTTTTAAGACTGAATGGATTTATGCTGCTTCTATGCTGACAACTTTATACAGAAAGTGAGCAGAACAGTTGTATGCAGTTACTGCTATTTTGGCTCTGCGAATGAAGACTTTAAGACTTTTTTGAATTTCTGAATGACAGACCTGGTTTAAAACTTATCAGTAGGGACACCTGGGTGGCTCAGTTGGTTAAGCAGCTGCCTTCGGCTCAGGTCATGATCCCAGCGTCCTGGGATCGAGTCCCACATCGGGCTCCTTGCTCGGCGGGGAGCCTGCTTCTCCCTCTGCCTCTGCCTGCCATTCTGTCTGCCTGTGCTCGCTCGCTCTCCCTCTCTCTCTCTCTCTGACAAATAAATAAAATCTTTAAAAAAAAAAACTTATCAATAGATAACTGAGACTAAAAGCAACTCTATATTACATCTGTCACCTTTTCCACTGCATCGGCTGTTAATCACCTTTCAAATCAAGTATCAATGTCTGGTGTCACTCGAGCGTGGACAAAGGGAACTCGGAATCACCGAGCTCTTCCCAAAGTTGTGGCACTGCTCCTAAGAACTTTTCAGTTATCCCACTTAAATCTCATAGAAACCTACAAAGTAGGTTTTCCTGCCTTTATGGATGAAGAAATTCAATATGACAATGAGCAATTCGTGTACTCTAAATGGGGGCAGATCAAGTGCCCATCTTCAAGAGAGCTAGTGGGGTACACATGGGTCTGAGACTCTACTCACTCGGCAGGCACAACCAGAGACTCCTGCATGCTATTCTGGAGCCAGAGAAAGTTAACCCAGCACAGTGTCAGGTGCTTGTGATGCTGTCTAACACAGGGCATTCCTGTACACTGCAGGGGGTGGGGGGGGCTGTGAACTAGTACGAGTCCTTTGGAAGAAAGTTTGGCAGGACCTCCTAAAGCCAAAGACTCAGTACCTTGTTGCCCACAGATCCACCCCAGATGTACTCCCTAGGAACTACATTTGCACATGCAGAGAACTGTGCAAGAATGCTCAGGGCAGCACCGTAGCCGTAGAAAGCGGAAACCGCACAAGTGACAGGAGACGAGATAGATGAGGGTAAGATCATACAACAAAGCAGCAAACAGCAGTAAAAATGAATGCATTGTTACTTCATACATCAGGATGAATGAATCATCAAGAGGAAAACAGCAAGTCAACAAAGGACTTATATACTATGATGTCCCTCACACAAAATTTAGAACTGTGCAAAATTCTGTGTAAGCTCTAAGGAGGACGAAGATAATGAGAAACATAAAACTCATCATTGTGGCTACCTTGGGGAGGGGTAAGGAATGGAATGGAATCCAAGAGAATCAGACAGAGCTTCAAAAATACTGGACATGTTCCATTTATTAAGCCAAATGGTAAACAGGACCATTTTATTATTCTTTGTATCTTACATGTATTATAAATATTCTTTCATAGGCAAATAGTTAATAACTTTAAAGTCAATGTAAGCATTTCCCCCTGATTGGTTCATTTCCTTGTCTCTGACAATTCTGATCTTATGATGATACCCTTGACTACACAGGTGCTGAAAGTGTTTAAAAATAATTCAGGATGCTGAACTGTATTTTGAGAACGACCTCAACACACACATCCCTCCACAGACTTCAAACACAGGATCACAATGCACCAAAGTACTAACAATGGTTACTTTTGAGTACTGGGATTATTGGTTATTTTTATTTCTTCTTACACGATGCCTATCCTCTAAATTTTCTGTATGTATTATTTGGAAATCAGCAAAAAATTTTTCAATTAAAAAATAAGTAAATGGCCTTCTCCCTCTATGAATCAAACTCATCTGGTTTTTATCACCTAGTTTTTAAAAAACACCCATGCCTGGGATTTCCCTTGGGTCCACTGAATCATGGTTTCTATGGGTGGGGCTCAGGCCAGTGTATCCTTCAAAAGCCCCCAACATGATTCAAGTGCACAGCCCAGGAAGAGGATGCTTTTCCAGGCTCAGTTCTTTCAACCCTTCTAGTACTCACCTCTGATTTACAGCTGCTGCCTTCCAATATGAATCGGAGGACTGCGTCCTTCTTAACTTGATTTTTATGAACAAGCCACGGTACCAAAGATAACACTGATAGTAAAAAAGTCTTTTTAAATGGCATATGTAAGCAACTTTATTCATGAATATAGGGTAAACTGCAGGTCTTGGGTATACCAGCAGGCTCTGAGAAGCAGAGGACTTCTCAGTGAATGAACTGAAACCACGGTAGTAACTGAATAAATATATTCACTTGCAGTTTTCATATAAGGATTATTTATAATTATTACTCCCATGACAAGCTTAATTTCAACCACTAACTTACCCTTTGGGGTCTAAAAGATCCCGAACTTTCTCATTATAAATTTCCATATAGGACACTTCGACTTTAAAGGTCTGTGACTCGTTTTGCTCTAGAGAGATCCTTTTAAATAACGCACAGCAGAGCCTTGGAATGAGGCCCAGCTGCTCAGCACTGCCCATCATGGAGAAGGATTTTCCTGAACCTGCAGAAGGCCAAGCAGAAAGGAAGGAGGACAACAGAGGGAGTGAAACATAATGCTTCCACATGACGAGGTCTCTACACTTATCCGCCAGGGTCACAGAGCAGAAGCGGCCAACTCAGCCCTCAAGCCCAAGCCCCCAGACAGCAGGGCTGCTGTTCTTTCTGTAACGTTCATGGCCTCCAGCTCGACGGAAGGATGCCTACTAATAGAACCACTATGAACATAGATTCGTGAGAAGGGTGTATAATGAATGTTAACTATACATTGTCAAGTAACATGGACAGTATTCAACCCCCAAATATTTAATGTTTGTGGAAATGCCGTGATACGTATTCTGTTGTCTGAGTCTCGTAGCTGTCCTGTGATGGGACAACAGGCAGTACAGTACTGGTGGGACTTATTCTAACTTTCTTGCTGAAGCTGTGGTTAAGAGCTGAGCCTCCAGGGAGCTTCTGCTCTGCACGTTCCCAGCACATGCCCCACAGTCCCGTTTTGATAATCCACCAGCACGTCTGTGTCCCAGGGTCGGTCCACTGCATGGGAGGATACCAAGAGCCGTTCTATGGCTTTTTACTATAACCTTTAATACTGGGAAACCGGTAATTATTTTTCTAGTTCAAATACAGGTTAAAACTGTAATTTAGGAAAATGACACTTAATAGTCTGAAACTAGCTTTGCTCAATTACTCAATTATCAAAATCGTTGAACCTTCAAAAAGAGGGTTACTTTTGATCATCTAATTCAGTGAAACCCACAAGGTCAGAAGCATGTTTCTGTCACAGTGTTTTCTATTTCTAGACTTTAAGAAATGCACATTTAATGTCATTGACTGTAAACAAAAGCAGCCACTTACCTGTCTGTCCATATGCAAAAATACAAGCATTATACCCCTGAAAGGCTTTTTCAAGAATTCCTTCCCCAAGGCACTTGAAAACCACTTCTTGACCTAAAAACCAAACAAAAAATAAAAAACTACCAAAGAAAAGAAAGATTTTTCTCAACATATTTGGATTAATAACTGAGTCCCAGTTAGTAACAATATTCTTTCAATCCAAAGATGTTAGAAGTGTACTGTGTGTCTACTATGCGTAGGGCTACGTGTTCAGAGATCAGTTCCCAGATCAGGTCACGATTCCACCCATTCTCTCCCTCTCAGACACTTCTCTAGGCATTAAAGTTTCCTTTCCATCATCAGGGGGCCACAGAGAAGAACTGTTTAAATTCTGTTTAGTTCTCATGAGCTGGTATTAAAATATCATTAAGCGTAAGTGGTCTTATCTCCCCATCTGCATTCCGAGCTTGCGACACACAGGAACGTTGTCGGACATGTCTTGGGTACATGTAAGCACCTGGCACAATGCTCAGTGAAGGCCAAGGGTTGAGAAACCGTTCGCTGCTGGCGGAGGTGATGTGTGTGGAGCACAGGCACCTCCCCGCTGTGTTCCCAGGCCGGGTTCGAGGACAAGTTCTCCTCCGTGAGCCTGTCTACAGCTCACTGAGGTTCTGGAATGATGTACCATACAGTCCATAGCATCAGGCTGAAGAAGAAAGCTGTGAAAATCTTTTTTTTTTCTTCTTTTTAAAATAGGCTCCACACCCAACGCAGGGCCCGAACCCACCACCCTGAGATCAAGACCTGAGCTGAGATCAGGAGTCGGACATCCAACAGACAGAGCCACCCAGGCGCCCCAGGTGTGAAAATCTTTTTAAACAGTTAAGGTGGCATTTACGACCCTTTGAAATTCCTGACTTTCTCACATTCACTCCCCATCATTAAGAGAATTAAAATGATATTCTCCTTCCTCTGTGCTCTCATAGTCCCGAACCTTCACAATTACAGTATTTGCCAAAACTACTGGTTTTGGTTCCTCTTCCTCCCTGGAATGAGAACCCCCGATTAATGTCAGAGACTATAATCTGTTTCTCTTTGTAATCCCCAGGCCTAGCACAGATGCTTGATAAACGTTGGGGAAAAAAAAAAAAAAAAAAACCCAAATTGACTGAACTTTTTTTTTTTTAAATCTTACATGACAATTCCATTTACATTTGGAAATAACGCAACACAGCGTAAGCTCTCAGGTGCACCGTTTCCTTTGTGCAAAGCAGGATCTGATTTTAGGAGCCCCTTGTTACACAGGGACATGTGGCTGCACAATGGGACCCTTAAAAATGTGTAAATATGAAACAAGCAGTATTTTCAACCGTTAGGCTGGCAAAACGTAACATTTTGGCAACAATATCACTGGACTGAAGAAATACAGGTATTTTTGTAATCTGCTGGGAGAATAAATAATACAGCCATGTGAAAAGCACATAGAAGCAAGCGACTAGAAGTGAGACATGGTCATGCCTCCACTGGGAGCCAGGATGAGGTACCCAACCCTCCAGACACTTCCACAAGGGACACCTCTACAGGATGCCCCCCGCAGCATTACTCTGATTCGCTAAGCTGGAACCAAGTTAAATGCCCACTGGTGAGGGAAGAGAGAAGGAAAATGGGGACTACTTCGTATGCAAGAATATTATTCACCACGTATTAAAAAAAAAATTCCAATGCACTTGTGGGTGTAGACAAGGCTAGAATTCGAAAACGTTCCTGAGTTTAACAAAAATCATGTTCCAATACACATACACATAGCGTATTTGGTATACACTGTGTCGAACAGTGTGAGAGAAAGACCCATCGATGAGCACTGAAGTTAAGAAAAATGAACTGGATGAAACAGTAACAGATTCACATAACCTTATTGCTCTAATTCTGACTTTTAACATCTAGCACAGAGCCTGGCACCTAAGAGGTGTTCAAAACACGTTGGCATAATATGTGAATTTTTTAAAAGGGTGTAACCACTCCGAGACGCACAGGGCTGTTGTGAAGACTGGCTGAAGAGACATGTGCATGCACACACATATACTCCGGGAAGAACAGGGAACATCAGAATTATTACCCACCACATCAATACTTTGTTCTCATCCATTCTCTCAAAGGGTCTTCCCTATTCCACATGTACTCCCCCAAGTCCCATGCTGAAAGGCAGGCCTTAAATCTGGAGCAGAGCCCGCAGCGTAGACTTTAGGGAGTTAAACCCGGCCCGTGCTCAGGTTGGTGAGAGCCGACCGTGGGCTCTCTCGGCACAAGCAGACAAACAGAGCCTTCTTGTTGGATTTTCCACCCTGGCTAACCAGCCCCTCAGGAAGGGGGGAGGGTGGGGTCAAGACGTGTTACAACTCAGCCAGGTCAAACATCCTGCCTGTAATTCATGATTTTAACTCATATTTAGTAACTTGAAAAAAAGCAAGCACTTGAGTTGACTGAAGGACTCGAGTGCGGGGAGCACTGTGGTCAGAGCTCGACCACGGCCCCACAAGGGCCTGTGGCCACTTAGGAATCTCTCTCTTCCTCTGTTAGGTGGTGAGATACAGTATTTCTAGCTTTGGCTCCTGAGGCTGAGTAGGATGGAAGTATAGGGAATTATTTTCTCCATATTCTTTTATTTTTTTAAAAGATTCATTTGAGAGAGAGAGAAAGTGGGTGAGGGAAGGGGCAGAGGGAGAGAATCTCGAAGCAGACTCCCCGCTAAGCATGGTGCCCAGTGCAAGGCTTGATCTCTTGCCCCTGCGATCACGACGTGAGCCAAAACCAAGAGTCAGATGCTCAACCGACTGAGCCACCTAGACACTCCTCCAGTTCTTTTAAAGGAAAATCACAATGTTTCTTTTTCCTTGGTACAAATCGTTTTTTAAACTAAAGACCATTAAATCCAAGATCAAAAAAACTAAGAAATGAGTGCTACAGAGCTAGACAGGTTTATGACACTGTCAAGTGAAAAAAACCACAAAACCTTCCAGGATAGAATATATATATACTAAAATTGCACAAAAAATAAACCAAGTGATTAAAGAATTCTCCAGAATATAAAAATATAAGAATAAATTGGTTTTGCCTATGTCTAAATTATTACAAATACTAAAGATGATATGAATTGACCTTTTATTTTTTTTGAGATTTTATTTATTTGAGAGTGAGCAAGAGAGTGTGAGCAGGGGTGGGCTACAGAGGGGCAGAGGAAAAGGGAGAAGCAGACTCCCCTCTCAGCAGGAAGCCTGACACACGGCTCGATCTCAGGACCCTGAGACCATGACCTGAGCCGAAGGCAGACACTTTTTTTTTTTTTTAAAGATTTTATTTATTATTTGACACACAGAGAGAGATCACAAGTAGGCAGAGAGGCAGGTAGAGAGAGGGGGAAGGAGGCTCCCCACTGAGCAGAGAACCCAATGCGGGGCTCGATCCCAGGACCCTGAGATCATGACCTGAACCGAAGGCAGACGCCCAACCCACTGAGCCACCCCGGCGCCCACCAAACGCAGATGCTTAATGACTGAGCCACCCAGGCGCTCTGATAAATTAACCTTTTAAACCTGTATACTTTTATTATTTATGCAACTAAGAAGAAGAGAATTAATCTTTATCAACTGCTCCACTAGCGATGCACTTTACATATCCTGTACCACTGAATCCTTGCGGTCCCCACGGCCAGCAGGATCTGTAAGGAGGCTGCGGTTCCAAAGGGGAGTCATTTGCCCAAGATCACACCCACAGTGAGTGGCAGGACCTGGGTCTATCTGTACTGACTCCTGACCGTTAAGGGAGACACTCACCCATCATTGGTGACTCACACTGCCGGACACTAGGAATCAGTCATCCCCCCTCTGGTCTCCATGGGTTTGTTTAGGTTATATTTATTTATTTGTTTTTACAAACTCTAGATCTTATCACACTTCACTATTCTTTCCCATTTTTCCCTAGCACTGGAGTGTGAGTTTCCTTTTTTTAAAAGATTTTATTTATGTAGTCTTTTGGGGGGTTGGGAGACAGAATCTCAAGCAGACTTCACACTCAGCACAGAGCCCGATGTGGAGCTCAATCTCACAACCCTGGATCATGACCTCAGCCGAAATCGAGTTGGAGGCTTCACTGATTGAGCCCCCAGGCGTCCTGTGAGCTTTAAAAATAGGTGTCGCATCTTAGCAGAGTCCCTGGCAAACAGCAGGCACTTTCATGTCCTGAGTTACTCCTATGCTGACATAGCTGTCCTCAGACTAAAGTGTACTGAATTGGTGGCCCCTTTCCTCATTAGCGAGGACTAAGGCATCAAAATATTGTTTGCTGAACTCAAATATTTGGGGCACCTGGCTGACTCAGTTGGTAGAGCATGCAACTCTTGATCTTGGGGTTCTGAGTTCAAGTTCAATGGGTGTGGAGATCACTTAGAAATAAAAATCTTAAGGGGCGCCTGGGTGGCTCTGGATTAAGCCTCTGCCTTCGGCTCAGGTCATGATCTCAGGGTCCTGGGATCGAGCCCCGCATCGAGCTCTCTGCTCGGCAGGGAGTCCGCTTCCCCTCCCCCCCCCCCCGCCTGCCTCTCTGCCTACTTGTGATCGCTCTCTCTCTGTCAAATAAATAAATAAAATCATTAAAAAAAATAAAAATCTTTAAAAAAAAGACTTAATTGCATTAGGGTTTATACTTTAATCAAAGTATGACTGTGTTTGAGATTCTAATGAGCCCCTAAAGACTACAGTACCCTTGGTTAGATCAGGCACTGGGGATAGATGTGAATAGACATGTTAATATAACATGTATCTACCAACTGAACAATTTTGATAAAAATGACAGATTATACTTTTCCTGGCACCCACGGTAACCTCCTGGACATTAAAACAAGATATATGTCACAGTAAAAACCCGAACTAGTCTCTCTGATTTCCATTACACATATGCTTAGGCTTTTCAAAAATCAAGTTCTCTTAGTTACGGTTATGCTTGACAGAATATTCTCCAGATTTATCATATTTAATAAAGCTTTAGTTATAAGCAGGAAAGGAAAATATTCTGGGACATACAAAATAGAATATGAAAGAGTAACAATTATACTGTGTTTC